TATATATATGTATATATATATATATATATATACATACATATATATATATATACATATATATATATACATATATATATATATACTCTCTCTCTCTCTATATATATATATATATAGTGACTCGAGAGTCCTGCAGCTGAGGGGGAGCAGAGCATGATGGGTAACTAACTACAGTCAAAATAGTTTACAGGTCCTACTGCTGTGAGGACTGTTGTCATTACGGTTGTTATTACTGTGATTACTACCTGCTGTGCAGCCTTCAGAGCGTTGTTAAAGCAGCTCAGAGCATCTTCGGTCCGTCCTGCAGAGCTTCATGATCAGCAGACGTTAACCCCTCGATGTCCATCTCCCGAGCCTCCTTCCTCCTCGACTCCCTCCTCCTCCTCACCTTCACCTCCTCATCGGCACCTGAAGGAGACGCATCAGACGCCATGTTGGAGGAGAACTGGACACAGTCTGAGGAGACACAGAGACATGAAGACATGAAACCTGAGGATCTCCTTTCAAATCTGCTAATAATCATATTCTTATTATTAATTATTATTGTTATTATTATAAACCCATTTATTTTTTTCTCTTCCAGTTGTTTTCAGCTGAAAGCTAATGCTAAGCTAACAGCGCCCTCTGCTGGAGGAGTCAGCTCATCAACATTAAACTGAATTCTTCACTTTTCGCCCCAGAAACAGATTCATAAATAAAGCTGATACATAAATGTGAACTTTAAGAGAATGAATATTAATATCAAGAAATCTGTTTATTTACTTCATTAATAACTTAACACTGGCTCATTTATGTTTCTATCTAATATCTAAGAACACAATGTTTACAATAGCATCTGATCATTATTGTTATCATTCATGAATTTATAGAATATTAAAAACTTTACTTCCTGCTACTCTTAGCGTCACAGTTGTTGTTAGCATCAGCTACTGATAGCCTGTTAGCCTGCCTTTAGCAGAGTGCTAGCTAGCACTGCTAACACTCTGTGAGTCATCATTTACTGATTCCAGGTGAACGTCCTCTGACTGACGTCTCACAAATCAATAACTGATGTAAGATCGATACGTGTCAATAAGTGACGTGTTTAATGGAGCAGCTAGCTACATTAGCTACGTGCTAACTGATGACTGTTGTTGACTCGGTTGCCATGGCAACATGAGGACGGGACGATACAAAGGAGACAAATTAAAAATTAAAAAGGAGAATAACCTGAATAAATTATCCATAAAATACATATAATGTTAGTTATAGTTTCACAAACACTTACGTTATCATACATTTTTATTTAAACGACAGAAAAGACACAAACTACATGGACCACAATCCAACGCGACAACGTTCCAGCCAATGGGCGGAGCGGCCTGGTCGTTCGGCCAATCAGAGAGCGGCGGGAGCTTTTCAAACTGCGGACCGGAAGCAGCTGGGAGCAGTTAGAACCGGGAGGAAGAAGAACCGGAGAGTTTGAGACGTTTTTTACGGTTTGAATTGACGGCTGAGAAACTTACCGTCGGTCTGATTCACGGAGTTAACTCTCCCACCGGAGACACGGAGACAACATGGCGGATTCATCCGGACGATGTGAGTCAAACCTTCTTCATGTTTCACTGAAACAACAATAAAACGTGTTTAATGTTGTTTTTATGGTCCGATGAATAATCGTGACACGTGCTCTTATTGATCTGATCATATCTGATGGCGTTTTCACATTATTAACATGAATTATTCCAAATATCACAGAAACATGTGGATTCTTCATTCTTCATGAACAAACACTTAAAACCGAATATCACTGTTGCATGTCTGAATATGTTTTATTTCTACTCTTTCATATCGGATTCAGACTGATGAATATTTCTTCTAAATTGTGTGTGTGTGTGTGTGTGTGTGTGTGTGTGTGTGTGTGTGTGTGT